CAATAACCCCCCCCCCCCCCCCCCCCGCCTCTGGGGTTTTCATTACAAATTTCAAATTATCCATGGGACAGAACGTGATCTTTACGTTGCTGGTAATGCTTTGCTTGCATATCAATGTTGTTGCATCTCTAAAAAGCTCCACAGATGAGTACGCTCTTTTAGCCTTCAAATCTCAAATAACTTTCGAACCAAATAATATCTTGGCTAAAAATTGGTCACAAGAAACCTCGTTTTGTAATTGGGTTGGCATTACTTGTGGGAATAGACATCAAAGAGTTAGGGAGTTGAATCTAGTAGATATGGGCGTAGGAGGTACTATTGCAAGAAATTGGTGAACTAACTTTTTTTTTTTTTGAGATCCTTGATTATTAGCAACAATAATTTCCTTGGATTTATCCCTGATGAAATTGGTAATTTAAGTCAGCTTCGAAAAATAGAGATGCAGGACAATGAGCTCAATGGTCCTATTCCAACAAGTCTTGGATTTCTTGAAAATCTACAGAAGCTAAATCTCTCCTATAATGGGCTCTATGGGGAAGTTCCTAATGGGATTTTCAACGTCTCTTTTTTTACGGCAATTGATTTAAAAGGCAATAATCTCTCAGGAAGTCTTCCTACAGATATCTGCAATAATCTTCCAAATATAGAGTTGCTAAAATTTTCTTATAATCAAATAAGTGGTAACATTCCTCCAAGCTTGGAAGCATGCAAGAAGCTTCAACGATTTTCTCAGGCATACAATGCTTTTTCTGGAAGCATTCCAATGGAAATCTTAAACTTGGATCAAAGCTTCGAACTCTCAACCTAGAAGCAAATTATTTGATAGGTATGTTTAAAGTGGTTTTAATATACATAAATCTCCCAAAACACTAGATAGCGTTTTCCAAAAAATTGTGAAATTGAGCAATATTGTTAATCTTTCACATCATAGATATTTCATACATTCATAGTGACCTTTATACTGTTATCTATTGAATATGTCCTTTTTTGTCTATTGAATACGTCCTTTTACCTATCTACACTAAAAATTATGTATGTACTTACCCCACGAAACCTCAATTGTGCATTTTGAATCCATGGGAACTTACTTTGGCCTATAAATTATTCATGCAAAAGTACGTAGAAACGTTGACCAATAAACCTATCTTTAATTCCTACATAGAGAATTAAAGTTGTCATCACATCTTTTTTTTTTTTTTTTTTTAAATGATACAATATTTAAATTAGCTTTGACAAATATGTTCAAGCATGTATAGATCTGTTAAACTAATTTTATATATTGAATTCAATGTTCTAAAAAGGATTAAGTGTGTCTAGACGTCAATCCCAAGCTACAAAATTTTACTAGCCTAAATGGACTAGGCATAAAAAATGTAAGTGTTGTTAGGCGGCAAGGTCCATTTTTGTGCTTAAATCTGCCTTTTAAAAAACTGATTAAAATCTATTTTAATTTGTTTATTTAGTGTCCTCACTAAGATTTATAACAAATTTAACATTTAAAATTGTCATATATGAAAAAGATTTTTATTGCTGATGGAAAATTGAAATGAACTTTAGGTTGCCATCGACGCATTTTACACTCTTCTAAAAATGTTATTCAGCGTGTATGATATTTTTCAACTAATTATTAGAAATACATTGTAATAACATCATATCCTATGTACCCAATCAGTTTGGGATGAAGAAGGATACCGCTAGAGGCTACCCTTATCAACGATTTGTCAACTAAGATTAACTATTCCATAAATTATTGATTTTCTAAAATTCACACACATTATAAGAATTAATGTGTGTTAGGAAAATGTTGTAATTGGCAATCTGTGACCAAAGGACCAATTTGTCAAGTTTGTAAGGTCAAGAACTAAATTGTAAAGGTCCAAAAAGTTCAGGGACTTGTGTTGCAATTTTGCAAAGTTTATAGCATAAGTCTAGGGCAAAGTTGGATGCTTTGAAGATGCAAACGGCGTGTTGATCTCGCTAGAGTTTCGTCATGACCTCGCTCGAGCTTAAATAACAGAACTGTTGTCGCTAGAGTTTCGCTGAGGGGTTGCTCGAGCGAAGGCGCGTTGCTCGAGTTTCGCCAGCACTTCGCTCGAGCGACTCGAGCAACAGTGCTATTTGGCTTTTGGTAATTTTTCTTCCTCGCGAATTTTAACGCTCCATACTACCAAAAACGACCTACTATATAAACAAAAATTCCGTTTTTCATTCATAACCTTTGGAAAACACACAAATAAAAATTTCTCTCTACAACCAAAGGATCTAGAGCCAAAAATTCTTTCTTTTCATCTTATGCTCTATTAGAGAAAAACATCAACCTTCACAAAACCAAAACACCATTCAAATCTCCATATCAACTTCCAAAAGATCATCTGTTTAAAGATCCGGGAAGGAAACTGCTTGAAGAATTGGAGTGCTTGGTGATTCACGGGAGATAGAAGAAATTCAAGGCTGGAATTTTGGCGCAGATCTGCAAAATTCAGGAGAGCTTTGGTTGATACAGTAAGGAGCTCAGAGTATTGTTAGATTCAATTATGTCTGGCGTACTGTAAGTCAATATCTTCTATAGTGGATCTCTACTGGCTTGTGCCCGGAGTTTTTACCCAGTTGGATTTTCTCCGTCAACATTTTGTTGCGTTTTTACTGCTTTCTGTTGTTTTGATTTCAACCGACAATTCAACTTAGGTAGCTAAATTATGTGAATGAATCTGGACAAAGCGTAATTTATGTGACATGTTGCATAAGTTAATTAAATTGTTAAATTCCGTATAAACAACTATTCACCCCCCTCTAGGTGTTGTTTGGGTCGAACTATAGCCTTTTCAAATGGTATCAGAGCAAAATCTTGAGTCCTGACCCATAGTTGTCTAGATGAGTCAATCACTTTCTATACCTCCATACTTTGACGGAAGTAATTATGCTTACTAGAAGGTTAGAATGCCTGTAATTGGAATAAGGATGAGATAGCTGACTGTAATTGGAATAGCAAGGGACTTCATGCCTTGTTTATGGCTGTGTCTCCCGAAGAGTTTAGGAGAGTGTCAATGTGCGAAACTGCTAAAGAAGTTTGGGACATTCTTGAAACTACACATGAGGGAACTAAAACGGTAAAGAACTCAAAATTACAAATGCTAGCTTCTAGGTTTGAAGTGAGAATGAAGGATGACGAAACCTTTGATGAATTTTATGCAAAACTGAATGATATTGTTAATTCTAGTTTCAACTTAAGCGAGAAATTCCCGAGTCTAAAATTGTTAGAAAAGTACTTAGGTCCTTGCCCTAGAGATTTAGGCCTAAAGTTACTACCATTGAGGAAAGTAAGGATCTAGATGAAGTTAAAATTGAAGAACTTGTAGGATCCTTGCAAACTTATGAACTCACTATCACACAACCTAAGAAAGGAAAGTCCATTGCTTTAAAATCCATCAAAGAGGATGAATCTTCCGATACTGAGTCTCTGAGGGACGATGAAATTGCTTACTTTGTTAAGAAATTTCAAAAGGCCTCAAGAATAGGAGAAAGTCTCAGGATAGAAAAAGTGGAGCCCCTAGCAGATTCTCAAAAGAAAAAACTGAAAGGTTTAACAATAAAGGCTCTAGTGATAAACCACGTTTGGTTAGGTGCCATGAATGTCAAGGTATAGGTCACTATAGGAATGAGTGTCCTAGTTATAAGAAGAATCAAAGAAAAGGGCAGGGTAAGGCCTTAGTTGTTTCACTTACAGATAACGAGTCTAAGACCAGTGATAGGCAGGAGTCATCTAGTAGTGAAGATGAAGGGAACTATATGGTATTTGTGTCGACTATTAAGAGTGAATCTGATAAGGAGAGTGACAAGGTTGAGGAAGAACTTCACAACAATAACTCTAGTAATGAGGATGAGGATGATATAGACATACAAGAGGCCTATCAACTTCTGTTCAAGGAGAGTTTTAAAATCAAAAGGATCAATAAAGCCCTACTCAAAAAGGTTGATGAATTTGAAAGAGAAAAAGAGAGACATGCTAGTAATCTCCAGAATTCACTTAAGAGTGTCAGTGAGTTAAAATGTGTCAATGAGAAGTTGGAAGACAAGGTTAAGACATTAACCAGTGAATTGGAGAAATCTAATGCTCATCTTCAGACTTTCATAAGTGGAACTAAGAAATTGGATGATATTTGGGGAATGAATAAGCCTACGGGAGATAGGAAAGGTCTAGGATATGTCGAGGGTAATACACATGTTGCTGGTCCATCTAAAACTGTATTCATTTCTGCCTCTAGGAAGTCTAACGCTGTCAGCAGTCCAAATAAGGGTAAGAATGTTTCGAGGGAATAGAGTCATCAATCACGTAGAAATTTTATGCCCAGATACCCACAGACATGTACCTTTGAACCTAGGTTCATTCCCACCTGTCACCACTGTGGAGCTCTAGGACACACTAGGCCTAGATGTTATGAGTTAGGCAATGAGCGTAGAAATCAGAATATTCCTAGTCAGGTCAGTTTTCTGACTAATCAGGTTAGTCATTTGACTGAGATGCTTACTAAGCTAACTAGGAGTACCACGTCATCTAAGAAAGTTTGAGTTAAAAAGGGGGATCAAGCTGGACTTTCAGGTCAGGTAAATTGCTATGTTGCTCATGTTGCATTAAAAGCCCAATATTTCAATTTGTGGTACCTTGATAGTGCTTGTTCTAGGTATATGTGGGGGTAACAAGGCTTTATTCACTACTCTTGATGAATGTAATGGAGGTATGGTTACCTTTGGAGATGGGGGCTCTACACCTATTCTTGGCAAAGGTACTGTACAAATACATGAATTACCTATGATCTCAAATGTGCTTTATGTGGAAGGTTTAAAGTCGAACTTGTTAAGTATTAGTCAGATTTGTGATGCTGACTTTGAGGTTAGCTTTGTGGAAAAGAGAAGTACCGTGTATGATTCATTCGGTGGGGTGGTCCTTGAAGGGGTTAGAACGTCTGATAACTGCTATGGAGTCCTACATAATTCTAACTATGTGTGTAGGAGTGCAAAAATTGATGTGAGTAAACTCTGGTACAAAAGATTGGGTCATTTAAACTATAAGAGTCTAGTACAGCTGGCTAAAAAGGAGTTGGTAGATGGTTTGCCTAAAATAGGTCCTAGTGAAAATGTTGTGTGTGGACCATGTCAACTGGGTAAACAAATTAAAAGAATCCATGAAAAGACTTCTAAAATTTTGACCAAAAGACCCTTGGAATTGATATACATGGATTTAATGGGACCATCTAGGACTGAGAGTCTAGGAGGTAAGCGGTATATTCTGGTTGTGGTAGATGATTTCTCGAGGTTCACGTGGGTAGAATTGCTTAGGGAAAAATCTGATGCATGTGACCTTATAAGATCTTTGTGTAAACGGCTTAGTAATGAACTCAATCACAAAGTGTCCAGAATGCGAAGTGATCATGGAAAAGAATTTGAAAATTTCAATCTTGAGAGCTTCTGCATGGATGAAGGGATACTACATGAGTTCTCTTCCCCTATCACTCCTCAACAAAATGGGATGGTTGAAAGGAAGAATCGTGTTCTTCAGGACATGGCTAGAGCCATGCTTCATGACAGGGGGCTAGCCTTACATTTTTGGAGAGAAGCTGTTAATACTGCATACCACATAACCAATAGAGTCTACCTTAGACCCAAAATCGGCCAGACTCCATATGAGATTCTAAAGGGTAAAAAGCCTACTGTCAAATACTTTCATGTGTTTGGGAGTAAGTGCTACATTTTGAGTGATAGAGAGAACTTGAGTAAGTTTGAATCTAAGAGTGACGAAGGAATCTTCTTAGG